TTTCGGTGGCCATTTTGTCTTTTCTTGCCGCACCCGCGCTCATCGTCTCTCCATCTCTTGGTGTGAGATGTTCCTCAGATGCTCACACGTGCTGTCTCCATCATTAAGAAGTGTTGACATAACAATTACAATGACAAACACATTTCCGTTGGCTCTTTGGCAGCTTGTCTTCTTCACATATGCTGCTGGGGACGTACGTGGAGCCTGCTTTTGTCGACGCCATTGATCAAATATTGCGTCGTTTCCCCTAAAGATGGGTGATAAAGACACGTCTCATTGTGATAGGACCGTGTGACAATCTGCAGTCAGCAAAGGGATACATTAAGTTTCAATTTCCTGGTATATGCAGCAGTTTAAAGGCCCTTTCCGTTCAAAAGAGGTGATACGTTTTGGTTAATCACTATGGCAACAGTCCACATTTTTCACCATTCTGAAATCCATCCTCCATCATGCAGTGTGACCGCTTAGATATATTTTCAACTATATTTATTATTTTTCCAAAGTACAGAGCAACCCTTCACCAGAAAAAAATAAATACATAAAAAAATAAAATAATAATAATTAAAAAAAAACTCCTTCAGATTTTAAGCAATAACAACTGTCCTCCAGAAATAAAAAGGAAATTATTTGCCTGGAACAAACGAATATGGAAAGCTTCTTTTGCTTCTGAGAGAGACAGAGATAGTTTATTGATCCTGAGGGATGCTGATGAATGATGTTGTTTCTCTGATCAAAAGCAAAATGTATTTTGTATTTTGTTTGTATTAATAATAATGACAATGATAATAATAATAATATAATAATAATAATAATAATAATATAGTAGTAGTAGTAGTTATTTATTATTTTATTATTATTATTATTATTATTATTATTATTATTATTATTATTATTATTATTATTATTATTTTCACAAAGTGGCTCTTAAATGCTTGTACCCAATATTTTCTGTGTATTTGTGCAACATTTGCTCCAGTACAGATGTATTGTATAAGCAGCTCTTGAGGTCAAAATATTCCAGCGGTGAGCTCTCTGGATCTAATTATAAAGTGCTGTAGTGTGCATTAGCATGCTAGTTGTAGTTAGTTTTAATGTCACAGCAAAATTCTGCTCTGGTCTCTGAAAGTTGTGAAAAGTGCTGACAAACTCATCGTTTTGAATGATGAAGATGCTCTGAATAAATAAGGTGCATGAAGAAGAACTCTAGATCACTGGAAACTTTTTCAAATGAACTAGTTCTGTTTTCCACGTGTTTAAGACAGTAAAATCAGGTACAGTACCAGCAGTATTATCTAGGGATGTCCCAATCACAATTTTTTTGCCCTTGAATCCGAGTCCGAGTCCTTTGATTTTGAGTATCTGCCGATACCGAGTCCAGATCAAATACTTCTATAAAACATTATAAAATGAACTAAGAGTAAAGAATAAGATCCAGGATGTGTGCAGGATCAGATTGTGTTGATTTCAATGTGTCGTATTTGGGCTGAACTTAGTGTCGAGTCCACAGTCACGTGATCGGTGTCGATTTCCAATCATGTGATCAGATCGGGACAACCCTAGTATTATCCCACTAACATAAGCAATAATAAGAAAACCATGAAAACGTGTCATATCTGCACTTTAAAGCATGTTTCTGAGTGTGTGTGTCTGTGTTTGTGTGTGCACGTGTGTGTCTGCGTGCACGTGTGTGTTTCTGTGTGTGTGCGTGTCTGTTGTTGCATGTGTGTTTCTGTGTGCACGTGTGTGGCTTTTACTTCTATTGGACATTAACTGTTAACACAAAACAAATTTGGGCGGCAGTAGTTCAGTTGGTAGAGCATTCGCCCACTGATCTGAAGGTTGGTGGTTTGAATCCAGCTCTTGACATAAACATCACAGGTTGAGTGGTCAGATCCAATGACCCACAGTTTGGCTGGTGTGATTCCAGCTCCCACAGATGAATGCTGTCATTGTGTCCTTGGGCAAGACACTTAACCCACCTTGCCCACAGTGTCTGTGTACACTGGTGTGTGAATGGGTGAGTGGTTCCTTGTTGTAAAGTGCTTTGAGTGCCTTGAAGGTGGAAAAGCGCGATAGAAAAATGTGACCATTTAGAGCACTATGTTCACTTTTTTATTCTGAAAATGTTATATTCACTGAAACAATGTGTGAACATGTTTTAGAAGTTTCTCTCTGATTCTCTCTGAATCACTTTCTCAACACGATGCATGTGTGCGTCCTGCTAATGACTGAATGAAAGAAATATTTAATCATTGCATTTATATAGCAAATTTCAACTTTTAAGACACCTAAGGCACTTTCCAGAGCATGATTCATTCACTCCACTCAGTGTTGGTAAGCTGCTACTGTAGCCGCAGCTGCCCTGGGACAGACTGATGGAAGTGAACATCACATCAGGTTTGTAAAGCTGTAGTTTTTCTGTTTTGTATCATGATTTTGTATATTTACGAAGAACGGGTGACGTAGACTTGTGGGCCGAGCATTGTACAGAATCTTACAGCTTAACCATAACAATCGGGCTTGGGAGAGATTGCTAGATTACTCAGACATGGCTGGATGACATTTAAAACCTTTTCAGACATGACGAGACTTACGACATGCTTACAACAGACATAACACAACACGACACGTTACAGCTCAGAATAGAAAGTTCTAAAACGTTGATTCAGCAAAAATCCCCCCACTTTACGATCTGCCTAAGGTGTCAAAAAGAAACAGTCCCTCTTCCGTCTCTCCGTCAGCAGAGCAGACTTGACCCGGCTCTGTTCTATCGCCCTTCCATCTCCGCCACTAACCGACCCCTCTGACGACTGGGAGCTAATTAGCAGTTAGCGTGTGGCCCTCTCCGTCTCCGTCTGTGATCTGCGAGCCGTTTCATGTTCAAGATGGTTGCCTCTCTCCTCCTCTCCTCCTCTCGTCCTCTCGTCCTCCCCCCTCTCTCCTCGGGCCCTGCGTCTGCCCATTGTTTGGCTGAGTGGGGCCGGTGGATGTGCATCTCTAATTGAGCTCCACAAACACTCCACCGGTGGTGGAGCAGAGGGAGGATGGAGAGGAGGACCAGGGCACGGGGCAGATGGACACACCACTATCCTCAAATCCTCAAATATGGATGTGCCACTGACAGAATTTCTGAGTAAAGGATAAATGAATAAACTGACAATTCCCTCTTGTCAAAGCCTGATGTTGTCAGATGTCAGAAGCTCAGGGTTGGGCTGGTCTCTGCTTGGATGGAGGCCGCTGGGAAAAAAAACAGGTGCCACAGTGGTCCTTGTGTCCTTAGGCAAGACACTTCACCCACATTGCTTAGTATAAGTGTGATACAGAGTGGCAGCCTCGCTTCAGACAGGTTCTGGGCGGCTGTGGCTCTCACTACCGAGTGTGGAGTAAATGAATAATGCACTGTATGAATATATATGTATCAGTATATGTATAAGTATATGTTTATGTATAGGTTTATGTATAGGTTTATGTTTATGTATATGTTTATGTATATGTTTATGTCTGGAATATATGTGAGACTAATGCATTATTATTACTACTATTCAAAATGAATTGTCATGTTCTATTTAAAGGTACAGTATGTGGCATTTCCACAAATTCCACAATTCCATCTGTGTCCTCGGGTACGAGCTAAACTGAGTCAAGTCAAGTCTTTTTAAAATGTATATAGCACATTTAAAATAACTGTAACAAGTTGCACCAAACTGCTTCACAGCATGAAACACAGCACAGTAAAGCAATAAAACACATATAAAATATACAAAATATTACATAAAAGAGCGGCTTGATAGACAAAAGGTCTAGTTGACGTTAACGTGGACAGTTTCAGAGTAAAGCTCATGGGCTGTTGAACGCCATCTTGAAAAAAATGTGTTTTTAGGAGGTTTTTAAAATGAGGTAGGGAGGACCAAGATCTGAGATGAAGAGGGAGGACATTCCAAAGCTCATGGACGACAACAGAGAAAGCTCAGCCTCCGTTGGTTTTGAGGTGGGATGGTGGGACAGACAGTAGGACGGTTTTGAAGGTGTGGGATGGACAGTAGGTTGGTTCTGAGGCGGGCTGGTGGGATGGACAGTAACATAGTTTTGAGGTGAGATGATGGGACGGACATTAGGACGGTTTTGAGATGGTGTGACGGACATTAGGACGGTTTTGAGATGGTGTGATGGACATTAGGATGGTTTTGAGGCAGGATGGTGGGACGGACAGTAGATTGATTTTGAGTTGGAAGGTGGGACAGACGGTAGGATGGATTTGTGACGAGATGATGGGACTGACAGTAGACTGGTTTTGAGGCGGTGGGACAGAGAGTAGGATGGTTTTGAGGGGGGATGGTGAGATGGAGAGTTTGACCTGAGAGACTGAGGGGTATAGTGGGTCAGAAGATCAGCGATGTACTGTGGCACGAGTAAGTTGAGAGATTTAAGACAAAATAATAATCAATTGTGTATTTAACAGGTAACCAGCGGAGTTGGGTTAGGATGGGTGTAATATGGTCTTTCTTTTTGGACTCGGTGGGCAGTCTGACAGCAGCATTTTGGACTAACTTTGACCTGTAGAGGGAGGATTGTGGCAGGTCTGAACATTGCACGTTGCAGTAGTCCAGTCAATTAGTTACAAAGGTGTATACGATTGTTTCAAAGTTGTTGTCCTTTAGGATTGGTTTTAATTTAAGAATTTGCCTGAAAAAAGAGTGGGGTCACCTCTTCAAAACACATTCTGGTGGAGAAAAATTTTAGAAATTTTAGGCCAAACTATTCCATATCCATGGTATCGGTGACCAGACTCACATCTTAGTAGAATCCTGAAGAAGTGAGTGTTCTGTAGGCAATCTTTTCTCACTAACATTCTTCAAACGTGTCCTGATGTATAGATTAGCATTCAGATAGCGCCTCTGTACATACGCTATTACCAGACGTAATCGCAGCAGCTGTGGGGTCGGGGAACGGGCAGGAAAAATCCCATTAGACGTCCACCCGTGTTGTAAATGCACACATACCTTCATGAATATGGACACGATGACCAGGCCGTTGGGGCTCTTAGCAGCTTCTGTGTAGTTTGTGTACAGCTCGTGGTTGTAGTGGATCAGCTGCACCTGGAACAGAAGGAAGAAGAACTTGAGAAAACAACATTATAGACCTTTAAAAATGAGCTAAAGGGCAGGTCAGAATTCTGTGGAGGAATTTGCTGTTTAAAAAAGAGAAATTACACTTCTATGGGGTATTAAGTGCTAACACAATGCAGCAGTTAATACCCCTCATGAAACTACTGCACATCACATCAGGTTTGTGAAGTTGTGCACTTTTATCTCAGAAAGTCTGGGTTTTGATGTCACTATCAGTAAAATCACTGAGCTCATTAACGGCGTTTACAAGAGCTAATCAGGACGTTATGAGCTGCTGTTGCTACTAGACTTCTAAACATTAAGTTATTTGTTTACTTTAGCAACTTAAAGATCCTTTATAATACAGAATTGACTCTTGTGCGCTTGTGTTTTGTTTCATTCACATGTTTGAGTAATGCTGCATTAAAAGTCTGTTTACATCTACCAAGCTCAAAATGCTCTGTTTCTCCCTGTGATGTCATGTAGTGGTCGTTTTCAAGATGACAGATTCCTTTTATCTCTAATTCAGAAGAGACTGGCAAATCCACATGTATAGGGTGACCATATTTCCATTTTTGAAAACTCGGACACATTACCGGGGGTGGGGGGGGTGGGGCCTTGACGTTGAGCTACTCTCACTTTCCAACCTGTGCACATGGCGTCTCACTTGTCACTTGTCTCACTTTCCGAGACGGAAAATGAGGAATTTGTTGTACGTTTGTTTGTAAGTCATTGTTAAATGTGCATTTGTGCTTCAGACTGTTTGTGTCTGCTCGCTCCTTCTGAGTCACAGAGCTACGAGAGATTTAATGCCCCCAATGAAAGATCATGAAAACCCGGACATTTGCATCATTTTATGGAAAAAAAAAAACAAACCCGGACACCCAGGACAGGACGCAAAAAATGGACATGTCCGGGGAAAAATGGACATTTGGTCACCCTACACATGCAGCACACAGTTGTGTTAGAACACCTGTCTCTGTCTGATACAGTTTAAAAAGTGACTTTTATAGTTGCATGTCGCTTGAGACTTTTACAGTCCACACACTCCTACGCAGAGGACAGACATATGTGTGGACATGGGGCACGTGTGTGTGGAAGCTGCACTCATCAAGAAAGCACAAACTATATAAAAGTTTATGGACATTATTTCATTTATGCAGATGTGTCTGTTGTGAGAGGCAGTGCACCTTTTCCACAACGTTGCTCAGGTCTTCTCAGAGTCACTGTGAGTGCACAAAGTGCAGCTTAAACTCCAGGTCTGAATTAGCTTTGGTCAGATTCAAGCTTATTTCTGTCATGGAACAAGTTCAGGCTTAAGCTAAAGATGGACTAGATTCAGCTCAGGATTTCAGGATGAGCCTGGATTTGTTAAGAAACTCCATCTCCCACAGGTTTGTTTGTGTTGAGGAAACAACATAGATGAGAAAATAGTGTAACATTGGCTCTCTGATATCACATCGATACTTAATTAAACGTTGTAGTCTCTGATTTTTCTTGTGGAAGGAACAGTGTGATTGGTCTAACACAGACATGTCAAACTCAGGCCCGGGGGCCAAATTTGACCTGCAATATAATTATATTTGGCCCATGAGATCATATCAAGTATTAGACCGTAGTATAAGTAGAAGTATTAGAGCTGTCTGCCAGCTACAGATAGACTATAGAGACATGGTTTATTTAAAATTGTATTATTTTTATATTCTGCTTGTTCTGGATTCAGTGTTTAAGCAAAACTATTATTAAACATGTATTTTAATAAGAAAAGCTTTAACATTACATATCTTGAAAAAAGAGAAAACATGCAGATGTTGTTGAAATTTTTCAATAAATATTTAGTTTGGCCGACGACTTAGTCCGCGTTTTTAATTTTGGCCTCTGTGAATTTGACTTTGACTCCTCTGGTCTAACAGGTATCAACACTTCAAACTCCGCCCCTGCAGTCAGGAGTTTGTATCAGAAACACCTGTCTGTAATCAGGGCAGTCTTTTGTGATGTCACCAACTACTGGATATTGCAGAGGTCAATGAAAGCCGTGCACACTCAGATTTAGGTCTTTTTGACTAGAAAGCTGCAGATTTAAGTTTCTAAAAAATAACTAGAAACAGTAGATAATGTTATTAAAACACCATATGCACAGCTAAGTAGCAAAATAAGCCTTAAGATGAAGATGACAGTTTTTAGCGCAGCAGTTGTGGCGTCAGTGATATCTCGTTACCAGGACTCCTTTTAGCTGCTCACCTCATCGTCTTCATGACACGTTTGTACGTATGAAGTGTCTGATCTTGTTCTCTGAGAGGGGCATTTAAACTCACCCCCCCGAGTTCCATTTATACCCCGAGTGTGAGGGCGCCGCAGACACTCCTGATCCTGAATCGATTTCCCTCTTCCCAAACTCCCGGCACGCACCAGCCCAGTGACGGATTAGAAGCGCCGAGCCCCTGACATGATACCTCTGTGTCAGGTATTGATTCTGTAGGTGATATGTAATATGATGTGCGCGCAGACAAGTTTGAAAATACATACTTTTTGATGAATTTTACATAACATCGATGCGGCTTTCCAAGAACTTCGATAAGACAGTTTTGTTGATGGGTTCATGGAAGATTACACTGGACGATCTTTCAACCTTTGGACCTGCAAACTTATGTCCAGTCTTAACTTTGAATCATTCTATCATATCAAGTCCAGGTTATTTCTCAAAAAAAAGACTGTTGGGAATACTAATATCTGGAGATTTTGGCCAACTTCATACAACAAATTCCTACAGACAGGATCTGATGACTCTACCTGTTGAACTACATTGACATTTTTGTTTGACGTTTCTTTTATGATTGTATTTTACTGCTCTATGCGCATAACTGCCCCTCGAGGACAAATAAAGTGATCTGATTTGATCGCCGGCTTGTCTCCGAGGAGATAGATCAGTTAAATGCCAAACTAAAGAACCAAAGGAATAAATTTCCCCGGAGCCAACGGCAGATCCTCCACCGAAAACGTTACGTAGAGTTACACGTTTATATTAAGCAAACAATTAACCCTGCGCAGACTTTTTAAAATTTAATTAAATAAAATTTTTTTCAATGCAATTAGAAAAAACAAAACAAAACAAAATCATTATACTGTACAACCATAAAGATCAGGTGGAGGGTCTGTCGTGAGCATAGGCTGTACAGTACACACTGCATAAAGTGACATAGAAAAAAAAAAAAAAAAAAAAAAAAAAAAAATAATAATAATAATAATAAAGAAAATTACTTGTAAGATTTACTAGAACAAAAAAAAAAAAAAATAATAATAATAATTAAAAATCCCTATAACAATTTGCACTAGTAGCACATTTTAAGTACAATTTACTCATCAGTATTAAGTAAAATATACTTTCCACCACCATTAACAGCCATGAATTTACTGAGTAATTGTTACTTTTATTTTTTTTAATTAGAAGTCATATTTATGTAAGTAAATGAAGTAAAATATATAAAATATTAATTCCATTGCTGTGATGAAATAAGTCTGACAGAAAGTCTAGTATTTACTGATGAATAACAAATGGTCACAGTTTTAGACAGTGCTTTTCCACCTTCAAGGCTCAAAGTGTTTTATGTCACAGAACTCATTCACACACAGGGTTTTTCTTTATGTCAAAAGCAGGATTCAAACCACCCACCTTCAGATAAGTGGAAAAACACTTACTCCAAAAAAAAGTAGCTTTTATTTATTCATTTTTTGTTTGACACCTGAAATAACAGTAAAATAATTCAGGTGTGTTCAAGAAAAGCTCCCATTTGGACCTTGACCACACATCCACCTCATACAGAGTAACATGCAGAAGAGCTTCACATTAGAACGTTCTGCTGCTGGCTGGGGTGGGCAGACATTCATTTAATATTGAGCGTTTGTCCACTGATCTGAAGGTTGACGGTTCAAGACCCGCTTTCCACATTAAGGAAAAAAAAAAGTGCCTGGTGCATGAACATGTGTGTGAATGGTTTTGTGATGTAAAGCGATTTGAGCCTTGAAGTTGGAAAAGTGTTGTATACAATTGTGACCAAATAAATACTATAATATATACATATAATATTTACTTAATTATTTCATCACAGCAATGTAATTACTTATGACAATATTTTATAGTTTGCTTAATTTATTTACATAAATATGACTTCTAACTTATTAAATAAACATTAGTATAATATATAGTATATATAGTAACAATTCATGATTAATGGTGGTGGTAAGTACATGTTACTTAATACTGATAAGTAAATTGTACCTGATATTACAGCAGTAAAATTTACTTAAAACATGCTGGTGCAAATTGTTAAGAGGATTTTTTCTAGTAAATCTTAAAATTTTTTTTTTTTTTTTTTTTTTTTTCAGTGTGTCACATACAACATTTTGGTCTTAAATTGTTCATATTAACCCACTCTGCATGATTGTGGGATTCTTATTAGGCTATTTTTGGCTAAGTCGCTCCCACTAGTTTTGGCAACAGATTTGATTGACAGCGCCCACCCCATTAAACCAGCGGTGTGGGCGGGAAGCAAAGAACTATAATAAAATCTAGAAGGTGAACCCAAGATGGCATCTTATAGTTTACATTATTAGGCTTCTTTTTCAGACCAAGAGTTTGTTTTCATCCCTGACAGTTTGTGCTCTTCTTCAGAGTCAGGTGATGTTTCTGTGACATGTCTCTCAGATGATTTAAACAGGTTTTGGCGCTGTCTTCCTACCGGTGGAAGGAGGACGACCACTAGTGAGCAGTCGAAACTCTCTGGTATGAAAACAAACTTGGTCTGAAAAAAAGAACCTAATAGCATAAATTATCGGAAGTCCAAATGAACCTGATTGGCTGTCGTATACAGTAGTTTTCAGTGGCTTGTGCACATTGGCGCAACGACCCAAAAATAAATACATAAGGTAAGTGAGGAATAATTTTGTACCACTGCAATCTGTTGAAAATGAACTAACTCTGTTTTGCAGAATAT